TTTTGGGGGGAAGTCTTGGACAATTTAAACTTGACTTTTAAACTTAACAGTCTTTTGTATTTTGTCACATCTTCTACTTATTTAACAGTTTGGTTAGTGGGAGCTGGGAGTGCACCAAACACACTGAGGTACTTAAAATCTTTTTAATTTTATTGAGGCTTAAAGGCAAGTAAGAACCTGTTGCCTCTGCTTGTTGCCAAAATAACATGGGGCAAGAGTAATCAGTTACAGTTGCTATACGTAATTACAAGTTGATTTCATTGAGAAGTAAGAACACTATATTTAACAATAAAAAGTTTATCAGACATAAAACTTTCCTCTTCCCTACACAGCCCAAGGAGGGGAAAAACTCTCACCAAAATATCATTTTAATGAGCAGATTTCAAAAGTGCTGGATTTTTGGGAGACATCGAGAAAGACTAATTGCAATTATTGTCTCTGGTTGTCTTTATTGATGCCACATTGAGAAGAGTACCAGGATGAAAGTTAGAAGGGACAGTAGTCAAGCAGACTTTTATACTATAAAGATTCCCACTTATTAGACTGTCCACATGCAGTGGCATTAAAACTTCCTGAAACTGTTCCTTGTAGTTTGAAAATTATTTCTTTTTGAAGTCATTATAATGGTTTTCTTTTTATTTCTTTTCTTTATTTATTTTTTATTTTTAAGACGGAGTCTCGCTATGTCACCAGGCTGGAGTGCAGTGGTGTGATCTCAGCTCACTGCAACCTCCGCCTCCTGGGTTCAAGCGATTCTCCTGCCTCAGCCTCCTAAGTAGCTGGGATTACAGGCACGTGCCACCACACCCAGCTAATTTTTGTATTTTTAGTAGAGATGGGGTTTCACCATGTTGGCCAGGATGGTCTCAATCTCCTAATCTCGTGGTCCGCCCGGCTCAGCCTCCCAAAGTCCTGAGATTACAGGTGTGAGCCACTGTGCGGCCCTTTTTATTTCTTTTTAATTTTGTGTGGACTTCAATGGTAGAAGTTATAGTTGATTTGACCAGAAAGGGACATGTGCAAAACCTTCCTAAAATATTTCCTTTTTATTTTCTTGTGCTGTTTGCTATATCTGTCATCATTAGGGCCCCCCTAGAATGAAGCAGCCAAGTCTTGGGTTATCACAAATATAAAGATAATTTTTATATCATTTTCTTTCGCTAAAGTGATCTGGATATCAATTAATTTAGCATTAATTATTATGTTGTATGCTGTCATTAGTAATGTTACATTATTAGGTATTAGTCACATTACATCAGAACTATTTTATGCAGCCTCAACTTCTTTACTAAAATGTGCAGTAGACATCAAATCACAAATATCAAGACTTTTGAACAGGGGTGAGGGCAAATTTTTTTTGTAAAAGGCCAGAAATAAGTAGTTTTGGCTTTGTGGGTCTTACAGTCTGTGTCTTATCTACTCAACCTCGCTGTCTGTGTGAGAGCAGCCATTTATGTAAATGAATGGGCACGACTGTGTTGTGGTTAAACTTTATTTTACAAAAGCAGGTCATGGGACTGATTTGCCTGTGATCTCTGCAACCCAGCTCTTGAGCAAGGGTCACAGACTTTGCTGTGGTTAGACAGGTACCTCAAATGAGTAAAGTGAAGTGGCTGTGGGGACTGTGACTAGCAAAGATCACATCCTTGTCTAAAATGGGCAGCTACTTCTTCCCTATAGCCACTTGTGACTGGCTCAGTGATACCAGATCTTGTAATTCAAGGGTAGATGGGAATTTGGATTTTTAGGCAAAGTCCTTTTATCAGTTGGCAACTCATTTAGATTTGTTAAGGAAATATGGTTCAGGTCAAGCTAGCTACACACCTTTGTGAGTTCTTTTCTGGTCCACGAGCTCTAGTTAGCAAATTCTGGTATTTTCAAGTGTAACAGTGTATTATGTGTCAATAAGAAGTGCCTGTAGAATGTCATCAGACATGGATAGCAAATGTCTAGCACTGGTGCTGCCACTCACTAACCCTTGTAGTGCCCATGACAGACATCAGTAATTGATCATAACACTGTTTCCTGCTGAGCTAAGAGAAAGTTTCAGATTTCTTCACTAGGGCTCTAAAAAGCTGCAACCAGCCAATCAGTCATGTTCCCTGATATAAAGGTATTCATCATTCCCATTCTAGAGGTTTCTAAAAAAATGTTTTTTTAATTAACCTAGGAAATGGCTTTGGACTTTTATTGTTATTCTTTAAAAAAGAAAAACCCAGTTAAAAGATGCTCTTAATTAAAAAGTACTTGAGAAAACATGTATTAGAATGGCAGGTATGAAAAAAGGTAAGATTCTGTTAATATGGCAGTGTTAGATTTTAGACCAAACTAAGGGAACTAAAGAGTATCCAAAGTAAAATGTGTCCTTAAAAGTCACTTAGCAGCATTCCTTCCTTACAGAGACCATGAACTTGGCTTTCTGATTTGTTCATTTTCAGCATGCCTAGTGCAAATTAATGCAAATGAATAGTTATAAAGGGGAGTTTCTTTTTTTCCTTCCTTTCACTGCCTTTGACCCTTCTGCACGGTTGGTGGTAGAGTACGACATTCAGCATTTAGGTGCCATCTGGGATGCATGTATTTTTTAAATTTTTTATGTGATATGTACATGATACAGCCCAAGGAAAGCATGCTTTATTGTCCATTTTGAAAGCTTTGCATCTTTTTGTCTTCCTGCTTTACTTCTTCTACCCTCTGCCAGTCTAAACACTGTTGTCTTTCAGGTTTGACCTTCTCTAAGAGTTCTGCTCTAATTCTGTCGTTGAACCTCTGTCTTCTCTAAACTTCTTTAGTACTGAGGACTGTACTAGTTTAGCAGCAGTGCCATGCTTTCTTATGTCCTTTGGTTTTAAATTTGAGGCATTTTTGTTTTTTTCTTCCAAATTAACATTTTCTTTCCCTGCCATCTAGCACAAGGACTGTGAATGGTGTGATCTAAAAGAACATTTTGTTTAAGCAAGCCATGGTGTTCATTGAATGCCTTCTCTGTGCCAGTCACTAGGGCTATAATAGTGGATGAAACAGAAAAACAGACTCTGCCCTGGAAGATCAGAGTCTAGTACAGCAGTTTAAAGTCTGATGGAATTTCAATTTAAAATGTCCCCTTCGTGGTAATCAGTGATGCACATTTACAGCTCCACTAAAAGGAAAAGCTCCAGTGGAGCATAGCTCTGTTTCAGTCACTGACATATCCCACATGCCTGGCACAGTGCCCAGTAAATAGTAAGTGCTCAATAAATAATTATTAAATTAGCTTTTAAAAGTTTTCATGTAGGGTTATTCCTGCAGGGCTGTGATTATAGGCAAATCATAGCGTGTACACCTTCTACTTTTTTTAGTATGTCTCCCACTCTTGTACCCCAGAAAAATCAGTCTTGAGTATCCTTTCAGAAATGTTGTATTCCAGTCTTGTGTATCCTTCCAGAAGTATTATAAATATTATATTATTATCCTTCCAGAAAAATCAGTCTTGAGTATCCTTCCAGAAATATTATAGGTGCTTGATATTTATTTATTTATTTATTTTTATTTTGAGACAGAGCCTCACTCTGTTGCCCAGAATTGAGTGCAGTGGTGCAATCACAACTTACTGCAGCCTCGACCTCCCAGGCTCCAGCAATCCTCCCACCTCAACCTCCTGAGTAGCTGGAGCCACAGGCAGGTGCCACCATGGCTCACTAATTTTTTTTTACTTTTTGTAGAGATAGGGTGTCACCGTGTTGTCCAGGGTGGCCTTGAACTTCTGAGCTCAAGCAATCCTCCTGCCTTGGCCTCCCAAAGTTCTGGGATTACAGGTGTGAGCCACTGCACCCAGCCTGTACTTTGTTTTCAATATGAGTATAGCCTATTTATTTTTTTCTCTGCAAATATATTAGATAGTTCCATGTCTGTATATAGTCATATTATTTTTGGTGACTACTTAGTATTTTATTGTCTGGAGAGATCAAAATTTATTTACCCAGAAACCTACTGATGAACATTTGAGTAATTTCTGATCTTTTGCTCTTACAAACAATACTACAATAAATATACTTGCTCAGCAGTCATTTTACAACCCCTGAAAGTAGGACTTTTCGTATACATTCCCAAAAGTGCAATTTCTATAAGAGTCAAAGAGCTTATGCATTTGTAATTTTGATAGTATTGCCACATTGTCCTCTACAGAGAGTGTGAGTGTGCCATTTTACTGTACTCTTACTAACACTGTATTGTTTTCAAACTGATGTTTTCTGATTTGATAGGTGAAAGTTTACATCTTTTTGGCTTTAACATGCATTTCTTTTATGTGAATAAATTGGAACATATTTTTATATGTGTATGAGCTAGTTTTATTTCCTTTTATGTACTGTGTCTTTATAACATGCTCAGTTTTTAATTTGTCTATTGGCCTTTATCTTATTGATGTGTTGTTGCTCTTTATATATTTAGAAAAACATTCCTTGGCTATTCTTGCTTGTTTATATTTCCATGTATATTATAGAAACAGCTTTTCTAGTTGCTAACCCCACTCATCTAAAAAACGATCCCTTTGGTCTTTTTATTTATATTATGTCAGATTTCTAGATGAATTTAGAAAGTACTGACATTTCTGTGATGTTCAGTCTTACTTCCTAAGAACATAATTTCTCTTTACATCTGTTTTTTTATTTTTAAAAAGTAAAACAAAATTTTTTAAAAATAGAGATGGGTCTTGATTTGTTGCCCAGGCTTGTCTTGAATGCCCGACTTTAAGCGATCCTACCCCTTGGTCTCCCAAAGTGCTGGGATTATAGGTGTGAGCCTCCACACCTGGCCTATTTAAGGTTTCTTGATGAAAAAATTAATGACATGTTAAAAATAAGCTAGAATATCTTTTAAAAAAATATGACATAAAGGGAAGATATATTCCATTTAATATTCGTATTTTATTAAAATGTCAATTCTTTCTAAAATAGCAGTTATAAAATTCAGAAGCTTAGATTAAACATTTCCTTTCTGATCATTTTCCTCTCTTTTGGCAGGCCCTGAAGAGGAAAGTGATGACGACTCTCATTTCGAAGGCAGAGATCCTGATATTTGGCATGTTGGTTTTAAGATCTCGTGGGACATAGAGACACCTGGTTTGGCGATACCCCTTCACCAAGGAGACTGCTATTTCATGCTTGGTAATCTTTGGAAAGTCAAAATTATATTGAGACTCTAGTGTCTAAATTTAGATTATTGGATATATATTTTGAATATGTCTTATGAAATAAACTTTTGGAGTATTTTATATTAATAGTGAAACTTCTTTATAAGAACATGTATACTGCTAAAATTTTTTTTTTTTCTTTTTTTTGAGATGGAGCTTCACTCTTGTTGCCCAGGCTGGAGTGCAGTGGTGCAATCTCTGCTCATTGCCATTTCCACCTCCCGGGTTCAAGCGATTCTCCTTCCTCAGCCTCCCAAGTAGCTGGGACTATAGGCACATACCACCACACCCAGTTAACTTTTGTATTTTTAGTAAAGACGGGGTTTCACCACGTTGGCCAACCTGGTCTCGAACTCTTGACCTCAGGTGATCCACCCGCCTTGGTCTCCAAAAGTGCTGGGATTACAGGCGTGAGTCACCATGCCCAGCCCTAAATTTTTAAAAGTTGTTTTTCTTTTTATTCTACGTAGATGTAGAGTTCCTCAAATATGCTACACAATTTTCTGGATTCTTTATGAAAGGTATTGAATTATCCAAGTCAAATTATAACTTTAAAAGATACCTTCCTGTCTATATTAGTTTTTAGTAGAGTTTTGTTTTTCTTTTCTTTTTTTTTTCCTCCTAGTTTTGAATGTTGTTTCTTCTCAGGAACAGCTGACCTGACAATGGGGCCTTTCTCTCAACTTGTCATTTAGTTCTTTGGGAAGCAATATCTCAGCTGTGGTTAGGCCAGCTGAAGCTGTGGAGTTTGTGAGGCTTTGTTTTTTTCTTCTTTGCTGTAAGTTTTTAATTTTATTTTTGGACTTTCTACTTGTTTTCCAATGCACGATGTGTAAACAGTATCCTTTTTTACTCACAAAGCTTCTCGGGGTTTATTCTCTACTTGGCTCTAGTTCCTGATTATTTGGGGTTTATCTCATTCCTGTCTATCTGGAGAAATCTACTCATATGTTGCTTTTGGAGCCAGGAAGAACCAGGGCTGAAGCCCAGGATTTATGATAAGAGTTGATTCCTAGTTGATTGGGTATTTTAGAGTCCGCTATATTCCAGGTACTGTGTAAGGTTCCAGGGGAGATATTGGAGGTGGATGAATCTTGGTTCTTGCCTTTTGGGAATTTGGAGTACGGAATAGCTCTTTAGGCCATTCTGCCACTAAGCATCTTCCAAATTTTAGCTCATTGCGTATCAGCTTCAAGGTTTTGGTCACATTTGTGTGCTTCTGCCTAAGTAAAGTAACCTGTAATCTTTCACTGAATTGAATTTATTTTAAAAGGAGATTTTACATCACTATCTTAAATGGAAATCCAGTATCACTAGGAATAATTAGAAGGGCTTCAGAAATGTAAATATAGAGAAACCAAAACAGTACTAAGGGTCTGCTACTTTTGTTTGCTGGAGATCCTGAGTCTGAGTCCTATTCTGCGTTTCTTAAGAGAGGAGATTAGTAACAGAGAGGTGTTAACTGTATAGTGGTACCAGTCTGAGACTTTCTCCTTAACGTCTGCAGGAGGGTTGGGGGATCATTGTGTAGGGACTCTTTCAAGTCGTGTGATTTAATGGCACTTAGTGCAGTGTCCCTTTACCTCTTAAATACTTCTCATGAGGAGATTCCTTCATATCTTGAACACTGATCTAAGTATGCCCTTCATCTCTTGCCTTCCATGTGAACATTGCTTTGCAGTTTACATATCAGTTTCACACAGGCAGCCCCAATCTCCTGTCAGCTTTGTGAGGGAGATGGCAGAGATTGTTCATCTTTTAAGTGATCTTCCTAAAGTCACTCAGTTATGAGACAGAACAGGGACCAGAATGGGTGGCAGGCATCTTATGCAGTGCTTTTCCTACTCTAAATGGGACTATTTCAACCTGATCCCAATACACTGAAATCTCTATGTGGGAATGGTTTTAGTGTTAAGGTTCTCTCTTCCCCACTGTCTCTCCTGCCTGATCTCAGGAAGTAAGTTTATTTTTTAAAGTTCCTACCCCATCATTGAGTTTCATTTGTAGGTAAACATTATTTCATCTTTTTTTGTACCACCCAAATACAGATGTTCGGCCTGAGTCTTAATAGATATTAGTATCAGCCAATAAATCACTTTCCTTTGGATACTTTGTTCAGAAGTTTCTATTAGCAATGTGTATCTTTCAAAGAAATAAGAGCCAGAATGTTATCTTTTAAAATAGCTTTTAAATTGTTTAAAATATAAAAGTGGCTGGGTGCTGTGGCTCACACCTGTAATCCTAGCACTTTGGGAGGCTGAGGCAGGTGGATCACCTGAGGTCAGGAGTTCGAGATCAGCCTGGCCAGCTTGATGAAACCCCTTGTCTTTGCTGAAAATACAAAAATTAGCTGGGTGTAGTGGTGCATGCCTGTAATCCCAGCTACTTGGGAGGCTGAGGCATGAGAATTGCTTGAACCCAGGAGGTGGAGGTTGCAGGGAGCCGAGATTACACCACTGCACTCCGGCTTGAGCAACAGAGCAAGATTCAGCCTCAAAAAAAAAAAAAAAAAAAAAAGTATATAAGTACTCTAAAAATTCAGCTGTATTGCATATACTTAATAACATCTTATGTGTTATTTTCTGATTAAAAATGCAATATGTGCTTATTTGGGAGAAAAACTCTGGAAAAAAAAAGTCTGAAATGAAGAAAGAATATAAAAATCATGTCAACGCCTGATTTAATGTATTTCTTTTCAGTCTTTTTCTGTACATATATGTCTGGAATTATAGTAGTAATGTGAATAAAAACCAGATTTACTGGGAATTAATGACAAACATTCTTTTAATCTTCTCAGCAATCCTGAGAAGTAAATATTAGCTATACTGCAAAAGAATAAATTGAGGTTAAATTTATGTAGTTACTTAACCATGGCTGCACAGCTAGTAAGAAGCATGGATTGTATCTTGTCATCTTACCCCACTTGGAGTCTGACATGTCATGTCAGGCCACCCCTCCTTCTCCCTTAGGGATGCCCTCCTCACCCTACTCCCCACTGAACCCTGCTCAGGGTTCCTGTGCCTTCTTCTTTCCATCTGGCATGATGCCTCTGTCTCACCTAATGGCTTTAAGACTAAATTGTTCAGGAAGGGAAGAAAAGAAGTTAATGATATTCTGTTTGTTTCTTTTCTATTCTTCTTAAGGTTATGGGTTTCTTGGGGTTTAAGAACTGGATTATAGGCCGGGTGCAGTGGCTCATACCTGTAATCCCCGCACTTTGGGAGGCTGAGGTGAGCGGATCACCTGAGGTCAAGAGTTTGAGACCAGCCTGGCCAACATGATGAAACCCTGTCACTACTAAAAATACAAAATATAGCTGGATGTGGTGGTGGATGCCTGTAATCCCAGCTACTCGGGAGGCTGAGGCAGGAGAATTGCTTGAACCCGGGAGGCAGAGGTTGCAATGAGCCAAGATCATGCCATTGCACTCCAGTCTGGGCAACAAGAGGGAAACTCCATCTCAAAAAAAAAAAAAGAACTGGATTTTAATGAAAATTTTTAATAATGACATTATTCATTGGATTTTTGTGTTATAATGAGTATACACTGTAAAATATACATTGGGTCCCTTGAGCTATTGTGCATGATAAACAGAAGAAGTTAGTGTTATTTTATAGGAGCTGATATCCAAGACATAATATAAAATCTACTCTTGATTTCCCATGTCTTATTTTTAGATGTAGGTGATAATAGTTGGTATCCTACTGAACTGTGCCAAACACAGCACAGTATGTCCCAAAGTCTGCACTTAGAATATATATTTTTATTAGGATGTCATATTTGATTTCTGAAACGAGTCTTCCTAAAGGAAGATTCTTTTTTAAAAAATTCAGAAGTAAGGCAACCATGGTCTAATGCTGCCTTTTCTGTTTACTTTTAAGTCCAAACAGCACAAGGAGCCCCTTAGAGGGAGGAACTTCGGCCCCGTGCTGATATCTGAAATCTGAACTTCATAGCACTTATGAAAAGGAAACAGTTTAGCTCAATTTATAATAATATATTGGTCTGCAGAGGAAGTGCAGGCTGAACCCTGCTGTCTCAAGTAAATACTCCAGGGGTGTCTGATGGGGAACGTGTCGGGTGCCTGTAATAAATCCACTGCCCATGGAAGTGAGTGAAGTCCTTGTTGGCAGTGCCTGAGGACACGCTTAACTGGGGTTGTCACGGTTTTACTTTTAAATTGGAATCTTTGCCCTAATCTCAGAGTTAGACATGACCAGATTTGCAAACAGATTTACAATTTTCACTAATTTTCCAACCAGGACTTCAAAACACACTCAGAGAAAAAAAAAACACTCTGGTCTTTCTCAGAGTAGGATGATTTACTTTGCCACAGATGTTTTCCATAGACTGAATGTAACCAGGGAGTTAGGGACTTAAAAGTGGCTTGGAGACAAACTGTGGGTTTGTTTTTTGTGGAACAGATTATACAGTTCAAGGGACATCAACAAAATTATGTTTATTAACCAGGAGCTGGGTGTGGAGGTGGGATGTTTCAGGACAAAGGTGAGTGCTAGGTAAACATTTGGGGCAAAAGCCCTCTTTTCCCCCTTAATTTATTATTGCTGTTCTTTACCTGTCACCATTGATGACTCTATTCTCTCTGCTCTATTTACTTTTGTTTCTTAAGCCCAACTAAATCTCACTTTCAAGGATTTGTTGTTACTATCACAATCAACAGTTTCAAAACTTAAGTTGCCAGGTAAAAATTCCACTGCGAAAAAAGAAAACTGCAATAGAAATGTAAACGCATAGCCCTTCTTTTTCGGTTTTTCTTTACCTCGTCAACAGTTTAGGGTAGAGTAATGAAAGGACCATATTATTTCTATCAGGTAACTGAGTCCCAGACACACCGCATTGTCAATTGCCTGTGTATTGCTAGTGCCTCTCTGAGTCTCTGCCTTCACTGTAAAATGGGAGCTTCATGATTCTTCCTTCTCAGAGTTTTTGGGAGCACAAATAAGAAAATATATG